TGCAAAGTTGCTGTTGTTATTTATTAGTTACAGAATTCGTAACAGAAATCATACTTATTAACAGAATTTCGACCTGTTTCTTAATCAGTCCAGTTCTTCATCGTAATTTCGGACCATATTCCAGCCAGTTCTTCATCGTAATTTCGGACCATAATCCAGTCCCAGTTTTCATCGAATTTCGGACCATAATCCAGTCAGTTCTTCATCGTAATTTCGCACCATAATTCCTGAAGTGATAAAACTTTCTTTGTCCAGTGAAAGGGCCTTGATATATTCAATTTTTTGAAAATTCAGATTGACTGAACTCTCAATGTGGGGAAAGAGGGGCGGATATATCTTCTGTTCCAAACTTTACTTAAATCTTTTAACACCCATTAGAGTACTTATTGACATAACAATACATTTTTTAGGAATTAAAGACATTTCTTGCAACCAAGAAAATATTTACATTATTTGTAATGATGGTCAAGTGTTTTGAAGTTGCATACTTATCCGTGAAAGATTGTCTCAAAAACCTCATCGATATTAGCGAACACACACAAGCAGCTAAGGTGAGCGACTTAGCAAATGATAATTTGTTGTTATGCTTGATTGAATGTGGAGGAGTGATTGATTGATGAGGGATGATTTATTGATCCTGGATGATTGACTGATCCCGGATGATTGTTGGATCCCTATGATTGATTGAGCGACTAATCTAATGAATTATTTGTTGTGTTTTGCTGATTGAATATATGAGTCGATTGATGATTAGGATGATTGATGATTTGATTGATTGATGATTGATTGGTATGATTGATTGATTGATTGATTGATTGAATTGTAATGTAATGATTGATTGGGGCTGGGTTTGGTTGATTTGATTGTGATATTTTGTTTGAGTAGTTGTGATGCTGGCAATCAAGATATATGATCGACTAACCGATTTATTTGATTTGATTGGTTTGCTAGTATTAACACCATTGATAGGAAAACACTAGGCCAAAACTGGTAGTAAACTGTATTGAATTTGTACTTGATGTGATTAAATGATTCGATGTGTTAATTTGATTGACTGGTCACCCTGATATGTGTGCATGTGAATAGACCGAGTCGCAATTTTATAACGAGAATATTTTTGCCAAAGCGATTTCCTCTCAAACTTCGTATAGACGTCAATACCTCCGCTGGTCTTCAAACAGATTAACCTTAATGGTCCTTGTTTGGATTGACAGGTGGCTTTACACTCTGGGATGAATATTAACAAGAACGTTGAAAGTTTCTTAAGCATTGACTTTGAAGCCGTTCAAAGAAAAGATTCAGGAGTCAGACGAGTCTGCAGCCAAGGTTAGTCCAGTCATGTTCGTAATTTGCAAAGAAATAAATTCATCTTGCGTTGCGATGTTTTTTAGGAAGGGCAGTGACCTGAAGTGGTGGATATCATGGGTATTACGTGTTAAGCCGTATTCTTTGTTAGTGTTTCAACTGGCAGGTTTTTTCCTTGGAAGCCTGGATTTCTCTCTGATTGCTTGAACTTGGTTGCTGTGAAATGTTGGCCATTCTACTACTTACAGCTCTATTCAGTTTTTAACTCACGTTAAATGCGAAAGCTTGGAAATGAACTGCAATGGGTATTCAGTTGAAACTGCTAGATGCTTTTAGAGGGGCTGGCATTATCTACCTCAATATTCCATTACTGCAAGACCCTTATAATCTGCTGACCTTTTATTTTGTAAGACCAAGGAATTGACCTTATTCAACAGAGTTAGTAATCTCATTACGAAGATTATGTTGACTCACCGCGTGAATAATGGCTACATCGTGTCTTATCTTTCGCCTGGTCTGGGCGTAGCTTCAAATCCTATTTCCTTTAACTGTTTTCTCAGACATCTAGAGTAATGATAGTAAGCATTAATGAATCCTCGAATCCATTATGAAGTGTTTAGACTGGACTTTATCCGCACGTCAACGTGCGCTTAGTTAAGCTACACTGATAAAATTTTTTTCTCAAGAAGCGTCTGATGAAGAGTCGGAACTCAAAAGTTCAATGATGTGACTGATTTTTTTTAGCGAGTCAGTGGTTTAGCAAAAGATTAAACGGCTTCTGGCGTATCACAGGGGCATCAACATCACTAATACAGATCAGGGCAGAATTCTTTTTGCGCCCCTCCCTCCCGCACCTCTACCTCCCTGCCCTCTACCTCCCTGCACCTCTCCTCCCTGCACCCTCCCTTCCCTGCCTCGTAAGGTATTTATGGTCCCTGTCCTTGGACTTGCTTGTTACAGAGCTTCAGCTCCTCTAAGACCAAAAGTCCAAAGCAATTTTGAGCCCAATATTCCCCCAATGGGATTCTCAGCTATAAGCTTTCCAATCGGCTTTGTGTTTATTTAGGATATACTATTTGTATTTTGCAACCTAAAACTGTTAGTTTTTTCAAAACAGCGTTGACTGTTCAAGATCTTTTGGAAGGATTTCTAGATTCATTCTTCTCCTCTTACGCATGTTATTGTGAGTGTTCTTGTTCAATATTCATCCATGCTTTGGCATTTTTTTCAGATACTGGGTAGTATGTATGCATCAGCTAGAAATTGCAAACTATGAAAGATCAGTCATTATTAAAATATTCCAATCAAAAAGCTTTTGTGTAATTCTATTCATAATTCATCAATGGAAAGCCAATACCTTGCAAACCTTCGTGAATCTTCAGTTGCAATCAAATGAAAAATTCATAATACTTGGACATTCACGCTTCCGGCGTTCTAGTTTAAAAGCTTTAAAGAGACCTGTCTTTTCTTTTCATTGTGCCTTTTCCACTTTATTAAATTTTTATGAAACACGTTTACCCGTTTAGTTGCGCAGACCTCAAAATGATTTGATTTTCAATTTGTTATGAAATCATCACGAGTTATCATGAATTTCTTATGAACTCCCTAAGCACATAAGGAGTCTATAGTTTTTATCGCGCACACACAGGGTTTCAAGGGTGCTGCATGGACTTAATATTGATCAGTTCAGGTCATGCATAGATCAATAAGTATGATAATATTTGACAAAGCGTCCAAAGAGAGGGCAGAGAAACCAGAAAGTAATAAAGAGTAAATCATTCGCCGAGGATTTTTCTTGTAATAAATCATAAATTAGATATATCGGTCTTTAGCATCATCTTCGTGAATTATTCTGCTAGCTGTTCCTTATGTGAGTCGGCTTTAGAAAATCAATTGTTGTTTTGAGGTTTTCTTTTAAATATGGCAAACAATCTTTCTGGATCGGGTACAAAATCGTTTGAAAATGGCTTTGAAAAAAAGCAAACCAATTAAGTAAACATAAAGTCCTTTATCGCTCTTGACCTCTTCAGAGACTTAAACGTGTCGAAGAGGGAAAGCCACGTAGGAACCGAAAGATCTAATTCGCATAGGAAATAGGTAGAATCACACTGAGATCAGTTCAGATATCTGGGCCAGAAGTGCGAAGAATGAAACAATCGAGCAGAAGCAATGTTCCTCGTTGACGGTAACCGTAACTGAGACCAGACAGATGCCGCTTGCGTATAGATAATGTTCTAACCAAAAGAATGGAAATGTTTGGAATAGTGTTACCACTAGGAAATGCCAAGAAGAGATGTTATCTTCTAATACTAGGGGCAGGTTGTGTGATTAACTTCTCCAATTCTCCAATCTTTGGCAGTGGCGTCCTACGACTATGCCGAATATATTTCTAGCGTAAGAGTTTCGATCTTGTTTCTGAAGTTATTTTAAAACTCTGGAAAGAGATGTCAAGTGCGAAAAGCCTTTTAGTTTTACTATATGTTTAGCTTTTTTTCAAAGCCTTTTCAGTTGTCTTTTATTTGGGAAACAACCACAGATGTGGCTTTTAAAATTTATACTTTTAAAAAGGTTCACACACTCTCTCTCTATAGTAAGTTGAGTTTTTGATTAGTATTTCTCACTTTTTGAAAGATAAATTCACTCCACCGGCATTTCATCTCATGAGAGGGGGGAGGGGGCGGGGTTATTCCATTTAAAATGTGATTTAGGATTACTTTTCATATGCTGCCGTCATCCTGTTTGTCCCTGATTGAAATCCTGGCCGCTCTTGGCACTGGGGTAAGGATCGTACGTCGCGGAAGTAATATCTCATCAAGGAACTGGATCGAGCTAACATTCTCTCGGGGCGCCCATATTGCATGCCTATATACAGCATCTGAGAGCCTGATTGGTACCGTGGGAGTAGACCGCAGGAATGAGGTTGCAAACGAAGATGTCAGCAGAGAAAGGTCGCACTAAGTATTCGCGGGAGGGAGTACTTATAACGCTGTAGAAACTAAGGAATGGGTTGCACGAGGTTGGGACTATCCTGGCGGAGCCTTTATTAAGGAGATAGAATAGTGTTTGAACTCGTAACTGAAACGTAAACGCGTGGATGAATGTAAAGAATAAAAAACGTCTTTTTTCGGGTCTCATGCTCCTGGGTGATAAAGTCCGAATTGGGTCGGATAGGAGAGAATTAACAAGAGGGAAACAAGTCG